GTGTGTGTGTGTGTGTGTGTGTGTGTGTGTGTATCTGTGTGTGTGTATGTGTGTGTGTGTATCTGTGTGTGTGTGTGTGTGTGTGTGTGTGTGTTTACTCGTGTGTGTGCACATCGTATGTGACCACCACCACAGTCAAGGCGCAGAACAGTTCTAGCCCACGGATCCCTCCTGCTGCCCTTTTGTGGCCACAGCCGCCTCCGCTCCTCCCTCTTCCTCATCCATGCCAGCCACTACTCTGTTGTCCACTCTGATTTTACTCCAGGGATGCTATCTCAGGGGAATTGTGAAGTGTGTAATTTTAGAGGGTTGGCTTTTTTCACTCTGAATAGTACCCTTGATGGGTAAGTTTGTTCCTTCTTATTGACCAATAGTATTGCATGGGAAGGATATAGCCTAGGTTGATGACTCACCTGTTAAGGAGTCCCTGGGTGGTTTCCACTTTGGGTTATCATGAGTGAGCTGCTAGGCACAGTCACGCACAAGTGTGTGTGTGTGAATGTGAGTTTCATTTCTCCGGGGTAAATGCCCAGGAGCGCAATGCTGGACTTCGTGCATTTTTAGTATCCCATAAGGCAGCAGTGTCCAGTCACGATTGTTTTTTTTTTAAGTTTTTTTTTTTGTTTTTTTGTTTTTTTTTAGTTTATTTTTTTAAAGAGAGAGCGGGGGAGGGGTAGAGAGGATCTGAAGCAGGCTCTGTGCTGCCAGCAGAGAACCCGATGCGGGGCTCACACTCCCAAACCATGAGATCATGACTTGAGACAAAGTTGGACGCTCAACCACTGAGCCCCCTCAGGCGCCTCACGATTGTTTTTATTAGTGCTCTGGTTACAGAGTCCAGCGTGTTTTGAGGATCCGGCCTATCGTGTTTCCCATGACATAAGTTGTTTTAATGAGTTGTTTTGCCACATGTGAGGTGTTTTGGGGGATGCATCTCCTGTGTCACATCCAAAATGGTTACACTGGGTGGACGGAGGATTGTGGGAATAGATGGCGTCACGATTGCTGAAGACGAATTTCCCTCCTTTCATTCAGGGACGATGGCCCCTCTTCCTCTGTCTCGGCACTTAAGCGCCTGGAGCGCAGTCAGTGGACAGATAAGATGGACTTGCGGTTTGGTTTTGAGAGACTCAAGGAGCCTGGTGAGAAGACGGGCTGGCTCATCAACATGCACCCTGTAAGCGCCTGGGCTTTTTCTCGGTCCTCGTCCCGCTCAGGAGGGCAGCTGCACCCCTCGGAGCAGCCTAGGCCTTGGCAGAGTGGGGGATACAGGTGGAGACGGCATTGTTTGTAGCTCTCCTGCTTCCCTCTTTCACACCGCTGGGTCGTGTAGGGGCTACTGGGAAGACCAGGGTGAAGGGTGTGCCTGTTAACCTATAAGAATGAAGTTTTCAGGGATGAGGGAGGGATCGAGAGAAATCCTCATTTGAAAGGTGTTGCGCTGCAGTTCTCGTGAATGGGGCTGCGGGATGTTTATGCGGGGGCGGGGCAGGGAGAAAGGGTTTGTTTTTGTGCTCAGTTTCCCAGAGAGTGAAAAGCAAGAGGGGTCTTGGACTGTGCAGCGGGTAAGGTGCCTGTGCTGGCTGGTTCTCTCGTAGACCGAGATTTTAGATGAAGATAAACGCCTGGTCAGTGCGGTGGATTACTACTTTATTCAAGATGACGGGAGCAGATTTAAGGTAAGCCCCTGAACCCCAAGAAGCTAAAAGCCACTCAAGTGATGAGGTGTAGCTGGGTCCAAAGTGGTAGCTGTGAGGAGAGGGGGTTGGGAGGTGTCAGGGACACGGGTCCCTTGGAGCCACATGGGTCACCATTTAGGATATCATAAGAGGAGCCAGCTTGGACAGACTGAAAGAGCAGTGTTGTCTGTCTCAGACTTTTGCCCCTGCCATATGTGCAGCTCTTAATTTCCTGCTGCAGCACCTTTTTTTTTTTTTTTTTTTTTTTTTTTTTTTTAGTTTTTTTAAATATTTATTTATTTTTGAGGCAGAGACAGAGCATGAATGGGGGAGGGTCAGAGAGAGAGGGAGACACAGAGTCTGAAGCAGGCTCCAGGCTCTGAGCTGTCAGCACAGAGCCCGACGCGGGGCTCAAACTCACCGACCCTGAGATCATGACCTGAGCCAAAGTCGGAAGCTCAACTGACTGAGCCACCCAGGTGCCCCTGCAGTGTCTTTTAAGAGGTGTCTAAGGGCAAGGGTGCATTGGATCCAGGCTGCTCACGAGTATAATAGCAAACAGCGTGTCTTCACTCATCTCCCTTTTTTCTTTCTTGTTGCCTCTGAATGGTCGGTGGCTTTCGCAGGTGGCCTTGCCCTACAAGCCATATTTCTACATTGCAACCAGAAAGGTAAGTGTGGTTAGTAGAGTCAGGTCACACGACCTGAGCCTCATGTTATGGGGAGCTTCGGAACTGAACGTAAAGGGGCCTCTAGAGAAACGGGCCAGGAAGACAGATTTCACTGTAGAAAGTCCTTTCACTCTGATCTCAATTTAGGGTTGTGAGCGAGAAGTTTCATCTTTTCTCTCCAAGAAGTTTCAGGGTAAAATTGCTAAAGTAGAGACTGTCCCCAAAGAGGATCTGGACTTGGTGAGTACCACTTGGCCCTTCCAGGATAAATGAGGCTGGGTCTGCCCTGCACACGGGGCGAGATGGGTGAGATGGGAGGAGGCCAAGTTTAGCACCTGTGGGGTGGTACGGGTGGCGGGGCTTCGGTGACTGTCCGTATGTCCTGGAGAAGTCCAGTGGCCTAGTTGGTGCCACACGCAGAGTTGGACAAGGTGCTTTGGACTTGCTGACTCTTCCATTCGTGGGTTTACCTTTGAGTCGTTGTCCCTTTATTTTCTTTCCCCAATAAAGTCTTTTTTCTCTTGAGCTCATGAGCACAATCTCTTCATTTTGTAGCCAAATCACTTGGTGGGTTTGAAGCGAAATTACATTAAGCTGTCCTTCAACACGGTGGAGGACCTTGTCAGAGTGAGGAAGGACATCTCCCCTGCCGTGAGGAAGAGCCGGGAGCAGGGCCACGCCAGTGATGCCTACACAGCTATGCTGTCCAGGTGAGCTTACCTGTCGTAAGCAGCCAGTGAGTCCACACGGACGGGTTCCTGTGTGTCCCGAGGGGCAAGATGGACGGGAGGTAGGAAAACCCAGTGGTGAAGTTACCGTAAGGATTGGCTTGTCCAGTGTGGAAGCACTTTCAAGCAATTAGATAGAATTTCTTTCTTTCTT